CCTCACTTTCCTGAAAGATTTCAATTTTTATCCCATCAATTCCTGGTGCCTTGTTCTTTGCCACTTCTTTCAATGCACTTTGGACTTCCTCTCTGTGTATCATTGGCTCTTGTTCATATGTTATCTCTTAAAATGGTTGAACATTAACCATTTCCTTTTGGTACATATCTCATAGTGGTGATTATTTGCATTTCTCTTACAAGTAAGGACTTTAAGCATTTTTTCGTTGCCTATTAGCCATTTGGCTATATCTTCTTTGGAGAAATGTCTGTCCAAGTTGTTGCCCATTGTTGGACTGGGCTGTTTGTATCTTTGTTATTGAGTTGTAGGAATTCTTTATGCAGTTTGACTTTTAAACCCGTATCAGATAAGTGGTTACCAAATATTTTCTCCTGTTCTGTAGGCTGTCTCTTCATTTTCTTGATAAAATCCCTGCTCTACAAAAATGTTTCGCTTTGATGAAGCACATTTGAGGTTGTTGTTGTTGTTGCTCATTGTTTTGGTCATTGCCAATAAAAACCACTATGAGATACCACTTCACTTACTATAAGATGACTATAAAAAAAAAAAGGCAGCAGCTGGTGTTGATGGGGATGTAGAGAAATTTGAACTCTCACTTATTGAGGGTGGGCATGTAAAACTATATAGCCCTTTTGGAAAATGGTTTGGCACTTCCTCACATTGCTAACTGTAAAGTGATTGTATGGCCTAGCAGTTCCCTCCTGGGTATATATCCAAGAGAAATGAAAACCTATGTCCATGCAGAAGCTCCTACACAGATGTTTGTAGCAGCAATGTTCATACTAGCCTAAAAGTAGAAATGATGCCAATGCCTATCAACTGATGAGTGGATAAAAACTTGTGGTGTGTGCACATTGTGGACTTGTACTTCACGATAAAAATAATCACAAAAGACCACTTAGTGTAAGATTCCGTTTAGATGACATAGCCAGCCTAGGCAAATCAGTCCAGACATAGGGTGGATTCGTTTCCTGGGAGTGTGGGCTGGGAGAAGGGATGGGAAGTGACTGGTACTGGATATGGGATGTATTTGGAGGATGAAGAAAGTGTCTTAAAATTAAATTGTGCTGATGGTTTTGCAATTGTGAATGTATTAAAAGCCACTGAACTGCATAGTTTAAGGAATCCTGATGTGGTGTTGTCGGATAAGCACTGGACTGGTCCTGGAAACCCTACACAGGATTACTATGACTTTACAGCACTTAACAAAAAGTATACTTTAAAAGGGAAATCTTTATGGTGTGAATTGTTTGTCTCAATGAAGCTGTTAAAAATATCTGTAATTTAAATACATAGCTGGAAGCAAAAATCAACATTATTCAGATAAACGGCTTATGTGATCTCAGAGATCAAAGAAAAGAGAAATGTATGGTTTCTAGTAATAAAAATGTATAGTTTTTGTAATAAAAGGAAAAGAGAATAATGGCATACTATACCGTAAAATGTGTTACATTTTTTTCTCTTGTAAATGGTGTCATTTTGTGGTTGTATGCCATGAACAGATGTTTAAAGTGACCCTGACCTTATTCAAGAAACTGTGTTTCACTTCCATCACAGATTTAGTTTTCCAGGTCAAGATGTAAATAGTTTGCCTCTACTATTAAATTCGAGCCAGCCAAAAAAAATAATAAATTAATGATTACGCTTTCCTGTAACATATAAAAATTACTGCATTGCATTCCTCCTTCTCCTCAGTCCCTCCCTTTAGCTTTATTCTGATAGCTAGCATTCATTTCTGCTTTCAGTCAATAGTTGAGTAGCTGTGCATCAGGTGCTCTTCTAGGCACTGGGAATAAAATCGTGACCCAAACAGCTGCTGCCATGGCACTTACATTAAAGGTTATGTGATGTGTTAGAAGATAAAGTACTGTGTATAAAAGTAGAGAAAGGTAAGGCTGTGTTAGTCATTACAGAGTAAGTATAGTAATCTGTTATCTGATGTGACTATTGTCATCTTATTTTTCTCTTGCAATGTGTAGTTCCAATGACAGGATTCACACAGAGAGCAACCATTGATCCAGAACTGAATGAAATACATGTCTTATCTGGACTCAGCAAAGACAAGGAGAAGAGGGAAGAGAATGTCAGAAATTCGTTCTGGATTTATGACATTGTGAGGAATAGTTGGTAAGAAACTCTTTGCCTATACTGGAATCCCAGTATAGCATTTATTTAAGGTTGTTGGTTTATTAAAAGAAGAGAGAAATGAAGAAATATGTGGTGCACATTTTAAATTCAAAATTTGGGAATAAAATGGCCAATATCAATGTACATATACGATGACATTCACTGAATTAATCTTACTCTGAACTACTCTATTAGGAGATTGTTCCTGGCCTGGGAGTCAAGACAATTGTCTTATGGTCTAGGTCTGGCTATCAGGTAGATGTGTGAATTTGCAAACAGTTTTTTAAAAACCATCCCTATTGTTGAGTACCATCGAGTTGGTTCCAACTCATAGTGACTCTGCGTAAGATTTCCCAGGCTAACGTCTTTGCAGGAGTATAAATCCTCATCTTTGTCTTGCAGAACTGCTGCGGTACTCAGCCTGCTGACCTTTGGTGTGAACAGATTTACTGTTTTTCACTCTAGTGCTTATGCCATGGAGCCATAGCACTCCCCAAAATTCCCTAGTATTGGCTTTTATCAAATGAAGTTGGTTGACTAGAGCAGCGTTTCCTAAAATGTGTTCCAGGAGCACCATTCCTAGAGGATAGCAGTCGACCTTGCCTTCTGAACTAGGGAACTTCTGGGTAAACAGGGCTTTACCGTACAGCATCTGAAAGCTTTTGATATGCTAATGTTTATTGTGACTCTGTGGAGCAGTGTATTACTGGGTTGCTGTTAAGTGCTGTTGAGTTGGCTCCAACTCCTAGCAACCCTTTGTATAGGGTTTCTGAGGCTTTACATTTTCATGGGAACAGAAAGTCCCATCTTTCTCCTGTGGAGTGGCTGGTGGACTTGAACCCTGGACCTTGTGATTCATAGTCCAGCACTAACCAGATGGAGCCACCACACTCCCAGCAATATAGTGGTAAACATGTATGTAAGGAAAATAGTGCTCATTTCAACATTTGTCACGTGTATATTTCAATGACATTATGTTTACCACCATTATCCATTTCCATTTTTTTATTCATCCTAAACATAAGCTCAGTCCTCCTATACTTTGTGTACCTTTATTTTTCCATTCTCTTTATCCACCCCTTGTTGTTGTTAATCGCTGTTGAGTTAGTTCCAGATCATAGTGACCCTGTATAGGCTTTCTGAGGAGCAGCTGGTGAGGTTGAACTGCCGACCTCGGGGTTCAAACTGACCTTGCAGTCCAGCGCATTAACCACAGCGCCACACCAGGACTCCTCATCCACCCCTGGGAACCACTAATAAGCATTGGACCGAGGAAGTTTGATTGGTTAAATGAACTTTAGAACTCAGTTCTAACAAATGAGATTGTTCTATGAGGGTCACTCAAACTTTAGGATTTGATGTTGAATAGATTCACTGATTTTCTCTGTTGGTAATTAGACGTGCAATTCATTTGCCTACTACAATTTGCATTATGCTTGTTCCTAATTTTCTGAAGTAAAATGCCTTAAAAGAAATGTCTTGCAGGTCTTGTGTATATAAGAATGATCAAGCTGCAAAGGAAAACCCCAGTAAAAGTCTACAGGAGGAAGAGCCATGTCCACGGTTTGCCCACCAGCTTGTATATGATGAGTTGCACAAGGTATATTAAATATGCTTGCCTGCACGCTTTCCATGGTGTACATTCTGAAAGAATGATTGTTTTTAAGTGAAATGGAATACAAACTTATACTACATAATAGGCGCTCAGTACCAACTTCTCCCTAAGATTCCTTAGGGCAATAGACATTCTGCATAGTTTGAGTCCTGTCACTCTTTGGTTTTAGAAAAACAATGGGTGTTTCTTAGCTGCAATGGACACATAGAATAACGGGTTATTTCTATAGCATGAATATGTGATTAAAAGAGTATAGTTTTTAACACTTGGGTGGCTTGTTCCCTTGATATAAAGAGGAATGGGTAGAGGGGAGTGAATCAAAAAGTATTGCTACAAAATCATCCTTAAATCCTTGTTAAACATAAATAGCGAAATGTGAAGCTGTCATTTCTCAACATATCTTCCATCTAGGTGTGTATACTGCTAACCAAAACAAGGGTGGTATGAGCATCTCGCTAGCCTTTCCCCAGTTGCTAGGATGGTGTGGTGTTCCATTCTGTTTGCACAGGGCTGCCCTGAGATGGAACTGACTTGACGGTACCTAACAACAGCCCTCCCCCTCAGAACTCTGTGCTCTTCAGTGTACACCACATCAAAACAGCACTTTCGGTATCACTGAGAAACTCCAGTCATGTTCCTTTTAAATAGTCTTTGAGTTTGGGGATCAAAAAGAAGTCTGAAGAGGCAAGATCAGGGCTGTAGGGTGCATGAGGTGAGGTTTCTCAAGGAAATTCCCATGAAGAATGATAGAAATATGTCCTCGGGGCAACTTCCCTGGCTTCTTGCTCACCAATGTAGTTTTTCATTTTCTTAAAACTTCTTCCTAATGTTATTGTTGTTGTTGTGTGCCGTGGAGTCGGTTCCGACTCATAGGGACCCTGTACAGGGTTTCCGAGGCTGTCAATCTTTACGGGAGCAGAAAGCCTCATCTTTCTCCCGCTGAATAGCTGGTAGTTTTGAACTGCTGACCTTGTGTTTCGCAGCCCAATTCGTAATACATAAGCCCCTGTAATTGTCCTGTGTCCTTCAAGAAAATCTGTCAAGATTATCCCTTTGGAGTTCAAAATAACAGTCGCCATAACCTTTTGCATTGACCTCTTTCTTGGCCTTGACTTGCACTGACCCAGCAGATCCCCTCAGAAGCCACTGTTTGATGATGGACCTTTGGTTTGAAAGACCCCTCAGGAGACGAAGTACACACTCATTACTGAGAGAACTCGTCTGCAGCCATCCACTGATGGCAGAGACATGTCTAAACACACTTTGTTTGGAATAAATCCATGCATGTACGAACTCGCCCCCTAGTTGTTACTACTTTTAAGTGCTGTCAAGTTGGTTCCAACTCACAGTGACCCTGTATAGGGTTTCCGAAGAGCAGTTGGTAGGTTTGAACCGCCGCCTTGTGGTTCAAACCGACCTTGAGGTCAAGTGCTTATCCACATAGAATCTCCTGGTTTTAGATTTTGCTATTTCTGTGATTTTTTTAGTCTGTCTTTTCCCTAAGTATTAGTGACGTATCTTTTCTGTCATTGGTGGTGGTGTGTGTCGTCGAGTCTATACCAGCTCATAGCAGCTGTGTGTGACAGAGTAGAAGCTCCCCACGGAGACTCAGGGCTGTGATCCTTATAGGAGCATGTCACCTCAGCTCTTCTTCCAGGAGCACGGAGCTACTGATGGGTTCAAACCACCCTCGTTTTGGTTAGCAGCTGAGCACTTAACCACTGAGCCACCAGGAGTCTTATATTTTCCGTTGTTGTCACGTGCCATCAAGTTGGTTCCAACTCATAGCAGTCCTGTACCAGGCTTACAAGGAGCAGCTGGTGGGTTTTTCCTGCTGACTTGTGGTTCACAGTCCAGTGCTGAGCCTATAGCACCTAAGTTTAGGCCTTAGATCATTTATATTCTACACCATATTGCTTGAAATCTGTAGGTAGATACCATTGTTGTTATTGTTTTGTGCTGTGGAGTCAGGCCTGATTCATAGCAACCCTGTATAGGGTTTCTTAGAGCGGTTGGTGGATTTGAACTGCAAACCTTGTGATTACCAGTCCAGTGCTTATTATAGAGTGCCACACCAGGGATCCAAAGATACCATAGAAGTGAATAAAAATCATTTCTCTTAGTGTCTCCATGTTAAAGAATAAGTGAACTGCCATCTGCAGGTTAGAAATAATTTCTCTGTTGTCTACACGCCACTGGTTATAAATCTTTTCACATTTCAGGAAGTGCTGCCATGGTTTATATAAGTAGAGAATATTGTTAAAACAGTAATTAATAATTTATATGGACCTTCAATTAGAATATAACAACAAAATCCTCACATCCCCCTTGCATTTCTTTTTTAGAACTAATTGAATAATAGAATAATGTTTTTAAAGTTATTTTACAAATTATATGTGCGTTTAGTATTTGGCATTTTAGATAAAGCAAAATTAGGATGTTTAAATTAAACAACAGCTTACTGCTGACCTTTAGTGCTTTAGCACATACATCAGCATTTTTTGGTTAATAACCATGTTACTGTGGTCAGCTTGTGCTTGACTGTGGCAGTCCCCGTTAGGTGTTGTCCTCAGCGGACTCTGTATCCTGGACTAGCTCCTCAAGGTCATTCCTTTCTGCATTGTGTCTACAATTGAGGAGATGCAGCCCACGTGAGTACAAAATGTGCTTAAGGAAGTAGCCCTGAGGACTGAAAGTAAAATGGAAACTTGAGAAAAATCTAGATCACTCTTTGGTAAAAATGTAATGCTCTTTTCATTTTGTATATGAATCAGTCTAAGGAAATTACATTTTAGTCAATATTATCAAAGTGAAAGAGTTCTGGTATGGCGCTGTAGGATAAACACTGGCTTGCTAACTACAAGGTTGGTGGTTCAAACCCACCAGCTGCTTCATGGAAACCCTTTGCAGGGTTGCTATGAGTTGGACCTGACTTGATGGCGTATAACAACAGCCAAAATGAAGAAATGTAACTATGTCTTCTGGAATTTCTTGAGCATGCGTGTATTTTTAAAATCTGGCTTGTTTTGTCTTTCAATAGGTTCATTATTTATTTGGTGGCAATCCAGGAAAATCCTGTTCTCCAAAGATGAGACTAGATGACTTCTGGTCACTGAAGTTGTGTAGACCATCAAAAGATTATTTACTGAGGCATTGCAAATACCTCATAAGAAAACACAGGTATAAACATAATCCACTGAAAACTGTTGTAATTGACACTGTTAATTCTTGCTGGTATTGCCTGCAAATCCTCCTTTCTCTTTCGAACTTTGGTGATGTGACATTGTAAATGTTGTGACTACCACAAGTTCTGTAGGTACCCTGTTCTATTTGACTTCCTGCTTTGAAAGAGAGCTAGGAAATAAAGGTATGTAATGATGCCAAGTTTACATACGAAACAAGTGATCTGATGTAGGAAATGGTGCAAATGTTCAAATAATGGAAGTTTTTTGAAGGCGATGTGCCTTTCTAGGAGTAATGGGAACCCTAACCACTGCAAGCTAGAGCAGCCTGGACAGTTGACAATCCAGCCTGACTTCTAGTAACCGTAGCCTGGTGGTATTCTTGACTATGTAATGTTGCTAGCATTTGATGTTGTAGAGTACAGCTTCAAAATATGGGGTTGGTTTCACATCATTACCTTTGCCATTTAAGTGCAAGATGATAGACTCAGCCATTTTCATATGTGTTCCCGTGTCACATTTGCTGTGTGTAGCCAGAACCCAAAACCCCAAACCCACCGCCATCAAGCTACTTCTGATTTCGAGCCTTACGGAACTGTGTACAACTCCTGAGGGTTTCGGAGACAGACCATAAGTCTTGTTTTATCTTTTTTCACTCCTGGGGAGCAGCTGGTGGGTTTGAATTGCTGACCAGTGCTTAATCATAAATATAGAAGTTTATCTGTCCTGTTAATTCCTGGCAGGGTTTGATGGTAATAACTTTGAATTTAGAAGGAAATTAGCCTTTAATGATATGATAGTCATGGTGGTTGGTGGTTGTATGCATATCGGTTGCAGATCATAGTGACCCTGCACAGGGTTTCCGAGGCTGTAAATCTTTATAGGGGTAGAACAGCTGGTAGTTTCGAACTGCTGACCTTGAGGGTAGCAGCCCAACTCGTAACCGCTGCACTAGCAGAGCTCCTTAATGATGGTAAGAGCTGCCATTTACGGAGCAGTTGTGTGCTCGGCCTGCACATTGTTCTAACAGGAAGCCAGTAAAATGTGTACTATTATTATCACTGCATTACAAAGACAGAAATGAAGGCTTAGCTAGGTTATATAACTTTCCTCTGGTTATCCAGCCGGGTTATGACAGTGTCATGATTTGATCCTGAATGTTCTGCTTCCAGATCTCAGCACTTAGCCACTGTGTGTATACACACATAAACATAAACACACACAAAAAAAAGCTTATGTATTATATATCATATATAATTTTTATTATATATATATAGTATATATGACATACATGAAAAGCTCTCTGTAGATATAGATTTGTGTTTCTGGTGTGCCACTGTTGGATAAATACTGGACCTCAGTGGTTTGAACCACAAGGTCGGTGGTTCAAGCCCATCAGTCATTCTTGGGAAACCCTATACAGGGTTGCTGTGAGTTGGAACCAACTCATTGGCACTTAATAACAACATATCACGTTTTCCTAGATTCATACTTTGTACATTCCATGTTCCGAGTATTAGTGGATGTTTCTCCTCATTTTGAGTTGTGCCCCATCTCCAAATGAAGGTTCTGAAAGCTTTACTCCATTCACATCATCACAGTCAACTTTAATTTGAGGAGTCGGCTCCCCCCCAGTTGTATTTTGAGTGTGTTCCAACCTGCGAGGCTTATCTCCTGCCACTATATCTGATGGTGTTTTGGGTGCTCTTCATAGTCTTTAAATATTCAGTATTCTGGTGCTGACAGTGTTCCACTGCTATTCATAAGGCCTTCATTAGCTAAACATCCTTAAGTAGTTCACCTCTCCCTCTTACCTAGTCTTAGTTTGGAAACTCAGCTGAAACCAGTCCACCATGGTTTACCCTGCTGGTATTTAAAGTACTGGTGAACTAGCTTCCGGCATCACAGCAACATGTGAGCCACCACATACAACAAACTGACAGATGAGTAGCGAACCACAACAGATCTGTAACATATGGCTTTGGAATTCTATGTAAGTATGTGTTTCTTAATAAATACCAGGGACCTTCATTTGCTGATGGGGCACAATGCAAAATGAAGAGAAACAGCTGTGCAAAGTGGCAGCATCAGTGGGCTCAAGCGTGGCAACAGTAGTGAGGTTGACCCAGGATCAGGCAGTGTTTCGTTCTGCTGTGCATAAGGTCACTATGGGTTGGTGCCGACTCGAGGCATCTAACAACAACAACAACAACAATGCTAACAAAGCTATAGTTAAATCCATTTTTAGGTTTAGAGAATCCTATTTATTACTAATTTGAATTTATAGTAAGAGGCCCATTTTAGACAGCTGGAAAAATGTACTCATACCTTTTACTCTCCCAAAGTCTTACAGGAATTTGAGGGCCATTGCTGTATTGCTGAGAGAATAGCTGAAAATGTGTTTCTATGAATTGGGGGTGGGGGGTTGATGAAAATTGTCCTTTTAGTTCAAATTTCATGCTGGACACCTATTTCATTATTTGGATGTTTTCCTTGTATTGCTGGGCTGACTTATATATCGTTGTTGTTACAGAAACAAGTGTTTGTCTCGTTAAAATATAAATTTGGAGGTGACAAGTATGTTCTTTGCCTAGGAAATGTGTCCTCCCCCATAGTTGTGTCATAGGATACAGTCAGTGGAGTCCCCGTGTTATCTTCTCTAATTACACTGAAGTGTACAAACTCTTGTTGATCATCTGGAACAGGAAGGGGCAGGGGGAAAACCTTAATAGAGTTCGTAGCTGTTGCTTTGGGGACCAGGAAGCACTGTTGGCTGAAACAGGACTGCCACATGTCAGTTAATTTGCCATGTTCTAATGCCTTCTGTGTTGCTGGCAGAGTTGCCACCAGTATTTAGAATACCAGTAGGGTCACCCATGGTGGGTACGTTTCAGCAAAACTTCTAGACTCTAACAGCAGCTAGGAAAACGGAGAGGCAGATCACTTCTGAAAAATGAGCTGTGGACAGACAGCCTTTGAAATAGCAGTAGAATATATCTGTCCTAAAAGAGTCAACGACACTTAACAGCCACAACATCAACCGAAAAAGTAGAGCTGGAATGCTCCTTAGCAGTGACAATGGAGAGATTTCATATCACGTACTTTGGCCATGTTATCATTAGGGAACAGTCCCTGGAGAAGGACATCATAGTTGGTAAAAGCTGGAAGGAAGACTCTCAGCAAGGTGGGTCGACGCAGTAGCGTCGCTACAACAGGGGCTTAGAGGTAACAGCTTGGAGGATGGCATAAGACGACAGGTTTCGTTCTGTCATTGCTGGGATTGCTCTGAATCAGAACCCACTGGACAGCACCTAACAACCTGCAGGAACCGGATCTGTTTACACGGTCATTAACTCCCGCTCTCTTGCTGACTCACTGACTCATACTTTGTTATTGTTCTCTGCCTGATGTACCATGCCACTGAGATAATGGTCTAAGACAGAAAATCGTCTGTTGGCAGAGCAACCCTTACATTTGTGAAAGCCAAACCCAGAGGAAATGAACTGATTCTTCCTTCCTTTCTCTGAATGTTTTGAAGTATTGTTGTCAGTTAACTTCCAGTCAGTTCTGACCCATGTGTGACTTTATGGAAGCAGGTTGCCAGGCATGTCTTCTGAGACACATCTGGGTGGGTTTTAACCACCACCCTTTTGGTGTGTGCAGTGGAGTGTGTAGCCATTTGCCCCACCCAGGGAGCCTAAAAAGCATAACAATGTGCTAAAAATAGATTGTTGTATAATTATGCTCCACCAAAGAGCATCTTATTTCAATCAATAAATAGCCCCAAATAGATTTAAAAAAAAAAAAAGACACTGCTTCCCTTTCAGTTTTGCAGTCTCATAGACCTAGTTCTGGTCTGCACTCATCTTGGAGCTCAAGTTATTAACGTTCCGGAACTCAGTTTCTCACTATGTAAAAAACATGGTGATGAAATCTATTGTCAGTTATTGTGAAGATAAATTAAGAAATATACATAAGCATACTTAGTGCCATATTTGGTGGTGGTGGTGGTGGTAGCTGCTATTGAGTTGGATCTGCCTCATAGCGACCTTCTCCACTGCCCAGTCCTGTGCCAGCCTCACATTGAGCCCATTGTTGCAACTGCCGTGTCAACCCATCTCCTTGGGGGTCGTTGTCTCGTTCAATGACCCTCCAATTTACTGGGCATGATGTCCTTTTCTAGGGACTGGTCCCTCCTGATCACATGGCCAAGGTGCATGAAGTGAAGTCTCACTATCCTGGCTTCTAAGGAACATTCTGGCCGTACTTATTCCAAGACAGATTTATTTGTTCATCTGGCAGCCCATGTTTATTGTCAGTATTCTTCACCAGCACTACAATTCAAATGCATCTATTCTTTTATTATCTGCCTTATTCATTGTTCAACTTTCACATGAGTATGAGGCTGTTGAAAATACCATGGCATGGACCAGATGCGCCTTACTCCTCAAAGTGACAACTTTGCTCTTCAGTACTTTAAAGAGGTCTTGTGTGGCAGATTCCCCAGTGGAGTACCATGTTTAGCAGATGCTTGATAAAGTGGTTGCTACAATTGTTTTTGTTGTTGTTGTTATATTATTTCCTGATTGAGACGTACAGTTAGGCTCTCAAGGCAACCCACTAAGACTACTCATGTCAGCTTCTAAAGAATCTGGGAAACACTTGCATAGGAAAATCCACTGTAGCAGTCTAACCCACTAGTTTATGGTAGCTCTTCATTTGGAATGGAAGCCTCAGTAACTGCCCCCTGCTACTCTTTTGGCACCTAACAACAACTAGTCTTTCGTGGCTCTGTAATGTAAAATATTTAGCACAGTGACTGTGTTGTGTAGCTAATTGGATCCTGGCTTGTAGTTTGAAGAGAAGGGTAAACCCCGTTCCAGAGTGGAGAGTGCTCTTCCCCAGTCTCTGACAGCCTCCCCCACCGCACCCCCGACCACGTACCATTACTGCGTCCTCTCCACAGACCCCACATCCTTTTTAGTTATGTGCCAGCTCTCTTAACTCCTGAATCCCCAAGTACACGTTTATTACAGATCCAGAATAGCTTCTTCATAGACAGCAGAAGCCACCTTGGGTCTGAAGGACATTTTTCATGTTTATTTGTAACTCTAGACAATTCTTCTCTGTGTTTTCTAGGTTTGAAGAAAAGGCTCAAATGGATCCCCTTAGTGCTCTGAAATACTTACAAAATGATCTTTATATAACTGTGGATCATTCGGACCCAGATGAAACAAAAGAGGTAAAAGTGGGAATCAAGTTTGGAAATTGAGCTCTCTGCCCCCCACCCCCCACCTCTCCCCTTAATGGTTTCCTAATTTGGGTTTGCTGGTTTTGCCCTTGGGTGTTTAAAAAGAAATTTAGATGACACTAATAATTCTTTCACCATACTTAATTGCTGAGCAAATAATCCGAGAAGCTGGGTTCTATGAAAAATACCGTGGCATCAGGATTGAAGGAAGACTCATTAAAAACCTGCGATATGCAGATGATACAACCTTGCTTGCTGAAAGTGAAGAGGACTTAAAATATTTACTGATGAAGATCAAAGACCTTAGCCTTTAGTATGGATTGCATCTCAATGTCAAGAAAACAAAAAATCCTCACCACTGGACCAGTAAACAACATTCTTATCAGCAGAGAAAAGATTGAAGTTGTCAAGGACTTTATTCTTCTTGAATCAGCTATCAACACTCACGGAAGCAGCAGTCAAGAAATCAAACAACGTATTGCATTAGGCAGATCTGCTGCACAAGACCTTTTTAATGGGTTGAAGAGCAAAGATGTTAGCTTGAGGACTGAGGTAAGCCTGACCCAAGCCATGGTATTCTCAATAACCTCATATGCATGTGAAAGCTGGACAGTGAATAAGGAAGACCGTAGAAGAATTGATGCCTTTGAGTTATGGTGTTGGAGGAGAATATTAAAAGTGCCATGGGCTGCCAAAAGATCCAACAGATCTGTGTTGGAAGAAGTGCAGCCAGAGTGCTCCTTGGAGGCCAGGATGGCCAAACTTCGCCCCCATACTTCGGACATATTGTCAGGAGGGACCAGTCGCTGGAGAAGGATATCATGTTTGGTAAGGTGGAGGGTCAGAGAAAAAGAGGAAGACCCCCAGCGAGATGGATTGGGAAAGTGGCAGCATCGATGGACTCAAGCGTGGCAACAATTGTGAGGTTGTCCCGGGATCAGGCAGTGTTTCGTTCTGTTGTGCATAAGGTCTCTATGAGTCGGCACCAACTCGATGACACCTAACAGCAACAAAGACATTATCAAGAAGTAAATAAGCAAGCCACACACTAAGCAATATTTGCAGTAGATTTGTCTGACAAAGGACCGATACCCAAAATATATAGATTTTTTAATACTTCCCCCTTTTTCTTTTTTAACTCTTGCTTAGCTGATGAATTGGTTCCGACTCATAGGGCTTCCGAGGAGCAGCTGGTGAGCTTGAACCACTGACTCTGTGGTTCAGACCAACCTTACAGTGGAGCGATTTTCCTACAGCACTGCTTCTGGAACCTTTGGTCTATTTCTGACCTTCCAGGGACCCTTGTTAATCAGGGCTTACAAATATTAATGTTGTGATTGTTGTTGTTAAGGGTCATGGATTCCAACTCCGTATAGGGTTTCCAGGGATCGGCTGGGCAAGGTTAGCAGTCCTGTGCTTACCCACAGTGCTCCACCAGGACTCTTGAAATAAAGGATATGTTGTGAGGGGTCAGCTTACTGGCCTCTCAAGCCTTGGAGAGAGCCAAGTAATTCCACTGAGTATTTGCTCTGTTTTTTAACTTGCCTTTTCCAGCACTGGTATTCAAGATATATAAAAATAGTTCTTCCAAAATTTATTTATTTTTCACCAATTTGTTAAATTTACCAGTGCTGTGATACTTGTGTCTTTTTTTCTTTCTTTCTTGTCATTGTTGAGTTACGTGATCTGTTTTACACTAAATTGAGTTGATTAGCCTGGAGATTGAACCAACATTTTGAGTTTTCACAATTACATAGGCTGTGAAATCCTGAGCTTTGTGCTGTACGTTAGGATTGGCCAGTACGTGACAACGCTGCCTTTTCTCCACATTGACTCACGCAGCCGACAGATCGGGAGCTCCACAGCGTGCATGTTCAGTTTTGGAAGTTAAAGTGTGTATATACTAAAAACTCAAGAATAATGTTACAGGCTCTGAGTATAGGTAACCGATTCCTAAATGAGTGCTTTTCTATTGACCAAGTGATCTGTTGTTTCTTAATGAATACATACTTTAATAATTTAACAAGCAGAGTAATTCCAGGATTTTGTGCAGTCTCGGGGAAATGCTAATAGTTGTCCAATAGGAGTCCTGCGGGTTAATGGGCTGGACTGCAAAGTTGCAAGGTCAGTGGTTCAAGCTCATCAGCCATTCCTCCAAAACCCTATTCAGGGTCGCTGTGGGTCAGAACTAACTCAACAGCACTTAACAACAAAAGCAATAGGAAGGGGAGTAGATTCTTAAGTGAAAATGTGTGATTGTTCTTCTCTTACTTAGCGACTAGACCTGTGCTATCTATGCATTTGCAGCGTTAGACAACGGCTAAAAGATGCTCCAAGTTACAGGTGCCATTTTTCTCCAGTGTACTCTGCGAGCTAATTTGTGTCTGTGTTTTTCTTTTACAGTTTCAGCTCCTAGCTTCAGCGCTCTTCAAATCTGGTTCCGACTTTTCTGCTCTAGGTAAGCAGTGTACTTGCCCAGACAGATGTGTTATAATTTGGGAGATTGGATTTTCTTTTCTTTTAAATGAAACATCAGATGAGATGTTCATCCACCAAACAAAAGGAGTACGTTTCACGGTGGCACAGTTCTGAACGCCTGCTGCGAGGCTTTGTTCTGAGCACCAGGCGCTAGTTCACAGATTGTTTCTGCAGTTCCTGTGAGATATCACTCACAGTGCGCGTATGCTAACAGACAACAGTAGAAACAATGAATTTGTATAGCATTGCTCTGGAACCCTAGCTCCACTATGGTGAGATGATGTTTGTGAATTGAATGGTTTTCCTCTCGTTTTTCGAATTGATGTTGTTAAGAGAATGATGATGGAGCAGGCAATGGAATAAATGTTTTGAGAGCAGAGAAAATGAATTATCTCTTTCTTTCCAGAAAATGAGACTGTGTGTTGGTATCTTAATTGTTTGGCTAAGTTCTAAGTAAAACTTCGGTGTTTCTCAGACACCTGAGATATGGGTACTGTCTTCATTTGGTAGTGATCTCACGTACTATTGATGAATTCTTGAAGACCGTCAGATGTCCTGGAGTAAACGAAGGGGTTCAAGTTCCAGGACCCTGAGTTACAGTCAAGAACTTTCTGTCAGCATAGCTCATTGGTAACTTCCACTGTTCAGCAAGGTCTTTTGAACTTTAGGAATTTCCAGCATTCCTCTTGTCATTATAAAATGCCACACGGTGAATTCATATTAACCCCACTGATGCCAGTGCTGTTATGATTTGTCTTAGAAGTGAGCAGTGACACTGACATTGTCCAGTGTGTGTAGCTTACAGACTACTCTTTTATCTTTGAAATAAAAGAACACTTTGGGATATCAGTTTCATTTCTTCCATTATTGTCTCTTAAATGTGACCTGTACTTCAGAGGAGGAAAAGGAAAACAGGTCGTAGGTGCTTCTCGTTGGCTGGGAAAGAGAAGCATTGTTCTTTGGAGCCTTTCCCTGTTTCTCCACGATGAGTCTTTGTGACCTCTGGCCTCTAAGAACTGTTTGTTTTACTTGGATTCTAAATAAATTCAAACAAACAAGAGAAAAGCACAAAAAGGGAACTCTATGATGGGGAAGTTTTTCTGTCTTGTCAGAAGGAGGCAGTATAAGGATAGCTTAGTGGTTAAGAAGTTAGAAGTTAGTGTCCTGGCTGAAATGCAAATCTAGATTCAGTGACCAGCTCTGCCATTTACTAATTTTAAGTCACCTCACCTTCCAGATCATCAGTGTATAAAGTGGAGATAGTGAAAATACTTACCGGAAATTATTGAGACTTCATTAAGGGTAGTAATTATGAAAACCACTGGGTACTTTACAGGATGCTATGATTAGTACCTCCTTCCTAATGGAGTCAGAACATTTGTGAATTTGGATGAAGAGTCAGTTCCGTTGTGTGTTCATTTGAGTGTGAATTGGAGTCAGGAGAAACTGCATACGTTGCTATAAACAGAAACTGTGTATAAGGCGCCATGCCTGTTTACAACTCCTGTCTTGTTCTCATCCGCCTTCTGTCAGATTCTCTGACCATCACCCCACTTAGAGTTGAAATCAGATGGATTATTTCTCAAACTTTTCATTATATTGGTGGATTGAATTATTTCATTCTTTAAATAAATAAAAAAAATAAAAATAACCTTAATCAAACTATCTGACTGACTCTCTTCCCAATTAATCCAACCTATATTAAGCTCTTGTTGTTGTCAGGTGCCTTCAAGTCGGTCTTGAACTCCTAGAACCCAGTAATGAAAGTTGAATCACCCCAGAGGGTTCTATGCTGTAGTCTGTACTGCAGGACCAAGCATCAGTTGCTCATACGCAAGTTCAGTTTGAAGCTGAGCAGTATTAAAACAAGTTCAAAAGAACCAAAACACAACCTTGCGTAGATCCCACCTGAATCAAAAGACCATCACAAGAATAGATTAGATACATTCAACACTAATGACCAAAGACCAGATGAGTTCTGGGATGACATCAAACGTGAAAAAAGCAAAAGGTCGTTAAAAAGACAGGGAAGAAAGAAAAGACCTAAATGAATGCCAGAGGAAGCTCTGAATCTGGCTTTTGAATGTAGAGTAGCTAAAATGCATAGAAGAAACAGTGAAGTAAAAGAGCTGTACAGAAGATTCCACAGGGCAGGTTGAGAAAACAGTAGAGATTTATAATGGAATGTATGCGCGAAGACCTGGAGTTAGAAACCCAAAAGAAAAGAACACACTCAGTGTTTCTCAAAAGAAAAGAAGTGAAGAAAAAGTTGTAATATTGAAGGATTCTATGGCAAAACACTGAAAACTGTAGTCGTCAAAAGAAGATGGAAGGAATACACCGAGTCACTGTATCAAAAAGAATTGATCAGTGTTCATCCATTTCAGGATATAGCGTATGATGATCAAGAACCTTTGATATTGAAGGAAGAAGTCCAAGCTGCACTGAAGGCATTGGCAAAAGCCAGGCTCCGGGAACTGACGAAGACAAATTGAGGTGTTTCAACAAACGGATATGCAACACAACACTTATCTATGCCAAGGAATTTGAAAGAGCTACCTCTCACAACTGACTGGAAGAGGTCTGTATTTGTGCCCATTTCCAACAAAAGGTGATCCAACCATATTCAGAAATTATCAGACAATATCATTAATATCACATGCAAGTAAAATTTTGCTGAAAATAGTTTAAAAATGGATATAGTAGTAGTGCATTAACAAGGAACTGCTAGAAATTTAAACCCGATTCAGAAGAGGAGGGTGGAACAAGGGAATCATTGCTGATGTCAGATGAATCTTGTTTATAAGCAGATAATTCCAGAAAGATGTTCAGCTGTTTTTTTTAACTATGCAAAGGCATTCAACTGTGTGGATCTTAACAAACTATGTGTAACATTACATACAAAGTATGGGACTTCCATAATACTTAATTGTTCTCATGAGAAACCTAGACCAATGTACATAAACCAAAAGATAGTCATTCAAAGAAAACAAGTGAATACTATGTGATTTATAGTCAGGGTTGTATTCTTTCACCATACTTATTTGATGTGTATTCTGAGCGAATTATCTGAGAAGCTGGGCTGTATGAAGAATGCAGCATCAGTACTGGAGGAAGGTTTTATCAATCTGCAACTTACAGATGACATAACCTTGTTTCCTGGAAGTGAAGAGGACTTGACTTTTACTTATGAATAATTAGAGACTATAGTCTTCATATAAAGAAAACAGAAATCATCACAGAAGGATCAGTAAGCACCCTCATGATAAATGGAGAAAAGATGAAGTTGTTAAGGATTGCATTTTACTTGGATTCACAATCAATATCCATGGAAGCAGCAGTCAGGAAATTAAATGATTTATTTCATTGGGCAAATCTGCTGCACAAGACCTCTTTAAAGTGTTAAAGAACAAAGGTGTCACTTTGAGAACTAAGGTTTGCCTGTCCCAAGCCTTGGTACTCTCAATGGCCTTATATGCATGTAAAAACTGGACAGTGAATAAGGAGAACTAAAAGAGGAATTGATACCTTTAAATTAAAGAATATTGACTATATTATTGAATGCCAGAAAAACAAATGAATCTTTAAAGTATAGCCAGAATGCTTATTAGAAGCTAGGATGGCGAGACTTCGTCTCATGTACTTTGAACATGCTATCGTTGATAAAGTCCCTATGTAAGAGGAAGACACTCAGTAAGATGGCACATCACAGAGACTGAAACATAGAAACAATTATGAGGATGACAAGACTGGACAGGGTACCTCTGGTTGCTATGAGCTGAAACTGACTCACTCAGTGACACCTAACAGTACAACAACAACTGTCCTGAGCGTTCCTAAACTCCACTGCTCTGAGCAATTAGTTCCTCACTTCATTGTTGTTGTTGTTGTTAAGTGCCATCGAGTCGGGTCCGACCCATAGCGACCCAGTACAGGGTTTCCGAGGGTGTAAATCTTTACGGGAGTAGAAAGCCTCATCTTTCTCCCGCGGAGCGGCTGGTAGTTTCGAACCGCTGACCTTAAGGTTCGCAGCCCGATTCGTAACCACTACGCTACCAGAGCTCCTTTCCTCACTTCATTATACAATGGAAACAGGGATCATTTAATGATGAGGAACATGAGGGTTTAGAATCAATGCAGTCTTTTTGTCCTAGCTCAGACATTTAAGTAATCCTGTATTAAGGGTACTCTGGATACATTTCTGCATTTCTGCCCCCTTTTAAAAATGTGCTTAGAAAAAAACCTTTGAATACAGATCAAAGTTAATATTCTCCTTGAAGGACTTCCTTTGGTCTCCATTCCCTGCCTTTAGGTAGAGCTGTATCTGCTGTGTCTGCAGTTTGACGGCACACACACAGGCATGTGCACATAGCTGCCTGTGTATAAAATATAGTTGACGGCACACACACACACACCTATGTGCACATGCCTGTGTGTGTACCGTTTAACCATTTTTCTGATGATGGTTATTAATTTCCCTTTCCTCATTAGTAAACTGAGTGTCAGTGAGCTTGTCTAGCACGTCTCCTGCAAATCACCTGGTGCTGCTCAGTGAGTACTTGTTAATAGGGGTAAAGGAGCATGCATTCCACCCCGCTAATGAGCTGTGAGGCCACTCTGTGGAATTAGCATGAACTCCTGACTCTTTTCATGAGAAAAAAAGTGGATGTATGATGGCCTAGCATCCGAGAAAATGGACGCAGCCGATGTGAGTTTCTAAACGTTATTAAATAACTGAATTTCTCTAATCTTAGTGGTGTCATCTGTAAAGTATCTAGCACAATAGTAGGAATCTGTGTTTCATGCGCTCCCGTTTCTTGATTTATTATAGTATACATTCCCACAGAATCACTGTCCTCTCTTTTAAAGTATAACACAGCATGAAAGTTCCAGATTTAGAAAATCATAATGGCGGAAAAGCCCTCAAGACGAATGTAAACAGACTTGCTCATCAAATTGGTAACATAGCCAACCACACAGTAGGTAAAAGAACAAAACCTTTTTGAATACCATGTTTTGAATATATACCCTCAGTTGGATACATTCTAAAAACAAGAAGAACACAGACATTTTAAGAGTTTTTTTGTGGCTATACTGATTCTGAAACTTGTTTTTTAATTTATTTTATGTTGAGCAAATGAGTAAATAAAATGATCCAGAGTCAGAGCTAGACATGGAATATGGGCTAAGAGGAGGATTTTAATTGAAATGAGCAGTGACAGTGTGAACTCTGGACTTCATGAGGAAGTGTGTGTGAGAGATGAACTCCGCACTACTGCTACAAACAAGTACCACTCTTGATAGTTTGTAATGCCACTCTGCTGAGGGGAGCCGGGACCCCTTGGGCCAGTGGGTCTTCTAGCGCTCTGCCAAGGAGAGCTGTGCCAGAGAGTAAGAAGTACTTCAGATCTACCAGGGGCACTTCCAAAGGACACAGAGGTCATCTGAGGAGTTCTCACTGGGCAACTCAGGGACAGTGTGAGTATCAGCAGGAAAATGACAAGAAATGATTAATATAACACATTAAACGAAAAATGAATCCATGGCCGCCTTCTGATGCAAACAAGTAAATAAAATGGGAGGAAGAGAAAATGTTCTTTATAGCAGCGCACCAGCTAGTGCACGGATATGGAATGGAAGAGTTATGAAATCACCATTATTTATAATAATCCTTTCAGCCAGGAATGACTTATCTGTGTCAAAAGCACTTTGTGCAGGTCTGCTGGGGAAACAGAGCAGTTACCATCTCAGCCGCTGTACCAGTGGTAGGTGACTTACGAAGATGGAAGAGGGCACCTTTGTAGAGGAGAAACGGGGCATGTACATCCACGTTCATTGCCACCATTGGTAAGGGACAGTCTGATGCCCACGCCTCCTGAGGAGATGCACTGAGGAAGACACAGTGTCCTTTACGCAGTATTCTTACTGAAACTCTGTAAGCAGGGTGTGCTTGTGAGGAAACAAACCAGTCCAAGCACATTCGACTGCACAGCTGCTCTGGACACTTCGAAACTTACAGTATCATAAGACAAAGGCTGAGAAACTGTTTTAGACTAAAGAGACACGGTAGCTAATGCAGCGTGTGGTCTTAGATTGCATTGAGATTCATGGGGGAAATGATAAAGAATGTTGGAATACCCAAAAATGTTGACATTTTCTGAATTTAATAATTATAAAGTGATTTCTAAGTGGGCATTCTTGTTAGGGGAAATGAGCTCCAAGTATTTGGGGGTGAAGATGTCTATAGTTTACTTTTGAATCGTTCCACGAAAACATGATTGAGCTGGATGGTGGTGGATGGATGAATGGGTGGGCAGGAAGATGGAGGGAGGAATGAGGATTTCTGTGGCAAATTCGTTAATAAGCGATGAATCTAGGTGAAGGTTATATGAGTGTTTATTGTACTTAAAAGTTTTCTGTGGATTTGAAATTTGCAAAATGAAAAGTTGAAAACAAAGCTATTTAGGAAACTTAGAAAAGTATGAAATTGGAAAAAATAATACTTATAATTCTACCATTTACAGTTAACCTTTGTTAGCATCGTACAGTATTTTCCTCCATTGCTTTTTATGATGTTAAATAGTTGTTGTTGTTGTTAAATGTCGAGTCAGTTATCACTCATAGCAACCCTGTATAGGGTTTCCGAAGAGCAGCAGGTGGGTTTGAACTTCCAACCTTATGGTTGGCCGTCCCGTGCTGATCCTACAGTGCCACACCAGGAGTCAGTAGGCTTTGCTAAATCTTAAACACAGCTCAAAGGAGTAAGCATTTGTTCTCAAACTTATTTAAAATAATAATAAAATTTTTGAAAAATAAAGAAAGGAATGTACCTTTCCTGAGGCATTGTTTATTTTGCTTCCAAGAAAGTGGTATCCTTGACAATGTTTTGTTCTAGTTCTTTGCAAGATTAAAAAGCAGATTGAATCTAAAACAATTCTAAGTTGAGTGAAAATTGAGTTCGTCTTCACTGAGCATCATGGCATATATAACTTTGTATGGCTCTGGTTCTGTTTTTAATGACACTCAGAAATGGCGTGTTCAGTTATCCTTGGTGATAGGGCACGGCAAAAGACTAGTGTATGCATCTTCTCATTTATGTACCTCAGACGTTCGTAAGAAATTTGAAGTAGCTGGGATCAGTGTAGCAGCTGACCAAAGGAAAGAGGCATCTCAGAATAATCCTTTGCAACAGTGAACTTGAAAATTAAATGTTTAAATAGCAGTTAAAGGAGGAAAAGTCCTTTTAAATCATCTTTGAGATCGCTGTGTGTTTCTAATGTTCATCTTGATCAAAGTGGTTCATTGCTCTGTTTCTCACACAGTGTCCCCCTGGTGAGAGCCCAGCACTTAGGCCCCTAGCTGTTGGTATTGACTGTGTACCAGACTCGGGTCTCCATACTGGAAATGCATTTCTTTTCTTCAGCCATCTCTGTTTCAGTTCTCTGAGACCACTTCCAGCTCAGGGTCTCTTTGTAAAGATTCTTTCATTTTGAGGAAATATTTTAATTGGTCAGAAGCATTAAAGTCAGAAAAGAGTGATATTTCCTCAGTGGCCTCTAGAGGACAACACTTGTAAGGAAAGCTAGGGAAAGCCCTGTAATTTAGTGACCAAAGTGCCACTTCTTCTGGGGGCGCTTTTCATGCCGTTGTAGTTAAGCTGCAAGATAACCCTAGGAATAAACAGGATTGTCACACATTTACAGCTAAAGACACAGTTCCAAGAAAGGTTGTGTAACTTGGGTAAGATCCCCATGGCCAGATGGCAGAACTGGGATCAGAACCCATACTAGCTGCCTTTAGTTTGGTGTGGAGTTTTCCATTACGCATTGCTCTTTTTCACAACTAGCTTTTTATGTTACATGTTGCATTTTCAACTCCATGGATGAGTTTCTTTGTATCTCTCCTCACTAGGGTTTTCGGATGTGGATCACACCTATGCTCAAAGAACTCAGCTCTTTGACACCTTAGTAAATTTCTTTCCTGATAGCATGACCCCTCCTAAAGGCAACCTGGTGGACCTGGTCACACTGTAACTGAAGAGCCGCTGGACACAGGAGTGAATAGCTGAAGTCTGCTTTGGGTCTTTTGGATTGCAACTGCCTTGGCCAGCAGTCAGGCGGCAGCGAGTGAGGAGCTCAGCCGAGTTCTCCTGGGATCGTTACCATCACGTTTTACCCCGTGTCCTCCACACCCGACCTCAACCCCCTTCTCCTCACCCCATTCCTAAACTAGGCTAATAAAGTGAAATTGGTATACTTTCCATTTAAATATAGATACTTTTTTCTCATTTTAACATTTAGGAATTAATGAGTATAAAAGAGAAAATATTCAGACAGTTTCCCCTTTTCTGATTTTGATTTTCCTTATGTTTTTCTAACTGGGAGAAATAGGCACCGCTGACAGACTCTGAGATACAAGAATTTTGGAATTTGCTGTTGTTGGGTTGTTTAGCCTTTCTTCATTCTTCCTCTCCCCTTCCATTTCAGAGTACCTCACGTTGCACCGCTGTTGGTTCTTAGCAGGTCTGTAGTTCTGTAGGGCATGACGTATGTTACGGTGACGTGTGTGTCTTTGGTAACTTGCATCTTGTAGTAGTGAGTTAAACCACAGGCAGGCTATAGAGGGCTTACAACTGCACTTGCCATAGAACTGAAAACTACTGAGGCCAGCATCTGCCTGAGGTTGGGATGTACTATTCGTAGGACAGTAGATTTTATAGTAGATGTAGCGTAGCTAGCATCAACTCTGATTCACAGGAATCTTAAACTGCCAAGACTACTGGTGTTAAGGGTGAGCCTTTAAGGCCTCTCTGAAAATGGCCAGCAGAAGGAATCTGAAAACCAAATGCCAGCCCGTAGCTGTGGAGTTGACTGTGACTCCCACTGGCCCTAAAGGACAGAGTAGAGGTGCCCCGTGGAGTTTTCAAGGCTGGAGTCCAGGAAAGCTAGCTGACTGCCACATCTTTCTCCCTCGGAGCACTGGTCGATTCCAACTACCAAGCTTTCAGTTAGCAACTGAAGACTTGAGCTCTGCACTTTCCTTAACCAGCAGGACTCCTTCCAGAAGGGATCTGGGAGTGGGTCACATGCTCACTGGGGTCTTTGTAGCAATTCTGGAAGAAAAGCGCTCTTTCCTCTGGCAGAGCTGCATAGAACCAGGGTTTCCGTCTCTCTCTCCTGAATGCTGCTATTTTGAAGCGTTAACAGTTTGTAGTTGTCCAGGGTGGTACAGCTGACAGGCATTTCATTAAAGCACACAAGCCAGCCTGTGTTAAGGAGAAGAAGGAAAAATAATGCTGCAGTTTCTTTTTTTTTCGTTAAACCAAAGGACAGGTGGATTTTGCCCATTTTATTTTTTTTGTTGTTGGAGAGAGAGAGGTGCAGGTCTTCCCATGCATTCCTCTGGACTGCAGTCCAGGTGCTCACAAGGTGTGCTGTTGACAGCTGGTCACCTGGCTTTTAGAGCCTGCTCAGTGTGGTCGTGCCTGTCATTCAGTGAAGGGCTGTGTGTAATTCAGTATGCCCCCAAAGAACAAGATTAGGCCTCACTCACCAAAGAAAGAGGAGACATAGGTCTGTACTTCTCCAAAGCCTCATGTGTAGGAATGAGACTGAAGTCCCTCTTTGCTGTGTCTTCTTTGCTTAGTTTCACTTCTTGAGGCTTCAGTCCTGGGCTCTTGGGCTTTCTAAGCATCCTAAAGCAATCAGTAGTGATTTATTAAACAATACGATTTATACCTAGTTTTATGAGAAGTATAGTGATTAATTTCTAAAGTATTAAATTGTGTAGGTACAAAAAAACCCAGTTGACATTGCAGTTGAGTTAATACAGTCTCCTGTGTGAGGAGGACTCTGGCAGCTTCCTCCCATGGTTCTCCTGTGTGACCGTTAAGAACACAAAACGCTGGCACTGTAAGGGGGTGGCCTGGGACTCTCAGTTCGGGGAGACAGGTTCATAAGTCAGGGCATTCATAGGGAAGAACTTGATTACTAAGACTCTCCCTAATTGTAAATGCACTCTCAATTCGCTCATTTGAATTCTAGCACTTTAAAAACACCAACAAAGGAAACCCTGCGTCCACCCATTTTCTGCTGTCTGTTTAGTAGTGATCGCTTTCTTCGTCCTTTTCTGCGGCATCTTGGGCTCCGTGTGATTTGGCGACAGTCCACTTCCTTATCTCAGTGTTTGTTTTGTTTTGTTTTTTCTCAAACTGCCTCTCCGCTGGTTTCTTTAAAAAACATGTGCTTGTTTTAATTTCATCTTTCTTCGAACTGTTTTTAGGTAGAACTTGTCTTCATTTGTACCTTTCCCCCCATTATCATGGTTCCATAGATTTGAATCATAGTGGTCCCAATTGGTGTTGCTTAAGTGCGGTAGACCTGATGAGGCTGTTGTTAAGTAGCTAAGTCAGAATGTGTGCCTCAGGACTTTAGTGGGCTAGTGTTGGTATGCTTGTTGAAGATTGTAAGACTCCTATTTATCCACGGCCGAGAATGACCCAGTGCTCACAGCTTGACCTCAGAACTCTGGTTTGAAACTCGAGTATTACATCTAAGAGGCACTGTATGTATTTATCAGAGTTTTAGCAGTACATTATATATTTGAACAATGTGATTTTATCCTTAGATACATTGTGTAGTCTACTATTGAAGCTTTGTAGTTGTTATGTGCTGTAAAGTAGGTTCCAACTCACAGCTAACCCTATACAGAGTTTCTGAGGCTATAAATCTTTGCAGGAGCAGAAAAGCCTCATGTTTCTCCCATGGAGGGACTAGTGGGTTTGAACTGCTGATCTTGTGCTCTGCAGTCCAGTGATTATTGTACAGAGCCACTGCGCTCCCCGTGTTTAAGCATTGTTGCCTAACAATTATGTTACTCTTCCTGAGGTAGTTGGGTTGGTTCTGACTCATAGTGATCCTGTGTACAACAGAGCGAAAGCCCACCTGGGCTGCTGCTATCCTCACAGTGGATGTGTGTCAGTCTGACTGGTCCGCTCGTCTAACCTAGTGATTCCCAAGGGATAGGGCCAGCTGAATTGAGAGCTGTGGCTAGTGGGACACACTGGCTTATTTCATTCAGCCTCATTCCCATTTCACTTTTCTCAGTGAAAAAGTTATCTTCTCATCCAGAAACAAACTAGGTCCTGAATATTCTTTTCAACAGTTGTATTTCATGAGAAATAATCAGATTTGTAAGATGCTTCTCAAATGTGCTTGCTTATATTTTATATGTAGAAGGACAGAGACCTGGTGTGGCCAGTGTGATGAATTCAAAGTGTATCGCTTTTATCTTGTATTAGGTTGTATTTAGGTGCCTACCTCTGTGCTAAAGCTGCCAGACAAGTTTTCACCCTTTATTAAGGTCATCTTAGCCCTGGTTCCCATTTATATAAAAACTTGCCTGTCTATGACTAGTAAACAAAAACATTTACAGAAAACATTAGGAAGTCCAACTGCTGGTTTATCTTAGAAAGTTCTGTAGGCTTTAGAGTACAGTGCTTTACTGAAGTTTGTAAAACTATTCTTGGGTCAGATGTGTGTGTCCATTGTATATAGATGATTGACAGTTTCTCATTCCAGTGACTTCACAGAGTTTCATTTCAACAGACTGTTTTAAAAGCTAGCCTGCAAATAAAAACAAGGTTGAAGGTACGTACTCATGTATGAGAAGCACTTAGAAAGCCTTATTAGTCCCAGAATTAAACTGTTTCATGGCAATTACCTGGAGAAGTTACATTATAATTATTCCTAACATTGCATGGAACTTGTCAGGAATTGGTAGGTCATTTCATTATTTCTTGAGCAAAAGGTGCATTAACTCTTTAGCTGTTGACTGAGCTGAGAATTAGGGTTTGCAGGTTTGAAGTCACTTCCGCAAGTGTGACCATTAAGAGTATGTGCTAAAAATCATATCGCTATAGAAATATACCCTTCCTAAGTCTTCTTGAAAATCCACGTTCATTCCTAATGTGCAGAGATTCTGGATCTCCGCAGAGATTGTTTTAGTTGTCGGAGGAGAATCTGGGGGGTCTGTATGGCAGTGGTGTGAAGTCAGGTGACGCTTTTGTGAGGTTTGACTGTGGCTCGATCTAGCGCTGCAATGGCTTCCCAGGCTTCTAGTGCAGAGGTGTGCTGTCAGTTGGAAGTGGATGTTGCCAAGTTTGCTGAAATAATTCTTAGGTGCCTGCTAGCCCCGCTGAATGATGTTGGCATCATTTGTCTTTTGCAGTTTACTGAATTTTTTCAAGAAAAAATCGGCTTACTGATTTTTGCTGTTTACTAGTTTCCTTATCGAATGCTCGTTTTTATTTTCTTCTCTTTAAAAAAAAAAAAAAATGCTAACCTAAGAATTGTATTTATCTATGACTTTTCTAACCTGGAATACCTCCTCCTGCCACCAGATACTCTGTTGTGTTTCCATCCTGTTTCGTGGTAAACCCTTTTTAGCTCTCTTGGCCCCAGGCTCTCTAGTGTTTCTGTGGCTTTGTTGAATGTTATACCCTTTGAGCAAAACAGCTTTCGAGCCAATGATATGCTCTTTTCCTTGTGTATGATGAATTGAGAAATTATTAAGGGATTAATAGTATTCAGACACCTTTAGATAATAACCTGGATTGGTTTTATTCCCAGCACTGTCGTCTCTCCTGGGCAGCAGGGAGACTTGTCGTCGGATGGTCATCAGAGTACAGGTTTCATGACAGAGCGCTGGGAATGCAGCGCAGCACCGGGGTCCCATCTGCCTGTTGTTTCTTTTTACTGTGCTATATATGAGCCATTGTCTTTTATACCCCCACCCCCACCACCTGGGTAGCAGTGATTTTTCTGCTGACGTTGACTTGGGATTTGTCTTAAGAGTTGACTTTCAATTTCTAGTATAGTTAGGTGTTAGGGATGGCTTCGACTTGGCTGAAATGGTAGTGGTGCTTGTTAATGTGCCGTGAATCATTTTTGACCCCTAGTGACCCTTTGTGGGGTTTCCAATGGGTTGCTCAAACCGACCTTGTGGTCCAGGACTTTATCCTGCAGCACCACACAAGGAAACAACCACCCCCTTCCCCCCCCCCCCGCAAAAAAAAAGAACAGTGCAGCCGTATAAATGGTTTTCCCTCAAGAATATAAATTAGGATCAAATTCCACAGTTTATTCCCAACCCTAGCTCCTGCACTTGGTCGCCTAGAGCGTCCCGGGAGCTAAGGCCAAGTCAGCCCGGTTCCCCAGTAGGGCAAAAAGGGCTCTTGTGAGGAGTGGGATTGCTGTCCATCTTTTTTGTCTGGTAG